AAAGTTTTATTGTGTGTTGGTAGGATCTTGACCAATCACAGATGTTCTTTGGCATGTGTGGATGCATCACAGCCTTATTCACTTGGGTCATTTTGGTCAAAGTAATGCCAGCCAACGTATATAACCGCAGAATTGTATTCTCTATCTGGCAGCCCTGTGGTCCAATGTGGACAAAGTGTTGTAGTGAATGCAGTCTCAGTGAATAAAGAGATGCACAGATAACCTGAAAAGAATCTTGGAGATAATATCTCCTGGGTAGGGACCTCTTAACCACTCTCGTCTTCATGTGGGACATTCGACAAGAGCTAAAGAAATCTGTTCACAGAGAGAGATGTTCAGTTCACACATCAGATGCTTGAGATAGCTTTCAGGGATCAGTCATCTGTGATCTTGATTATCTGATCCACATGAATGAGATGGATCTATCAAACCTGAGTGATTTTGTCATCACCTTACACTGGCTACAGATTCAGTAATGAGACATTTCCTCAATGGCAATCAACTGATTTAACCACGGCTTTCTCTCTTTCTCCATGGAACACAGCCGTTGTAGTGATCTGATGTATGTTTTCCTTTTCAAATCAGGACTTTATTCAGTCCATAAAAGCAAATCAAATCCATATCCCACACACTGCTATTCAGCCAAGTACAGGATGAGAGGCCTTAAAAGCTCTGTGTTAAAACCTAGCATATTAGTGCAAAGGTAAGCCTCTCTCTCTCTCTCTCTCTCTCTCTCTCTCTCTCTCTCTCTCTCTCTCTCTCTCTCTCTCTTTTTCTCTCTCTTTCTCTCTGTCTCTCTCTCTCTCCCCTTCTCTCTCTTTCTTTGTCGCTTGCTCCTGCTTACTCTCCCTTTTTCCCTCTCTCTCTCTCTCTCTCTCTCTCTCTCTCTCTCTCTCTCCCTCCCTCTCTCTTTCTCTCTCTCTCACTGTGCAGCTCTTGCTAATTGGTTTCATGATAGAAAGATGTTGCTTTTTTCTTTTCTTCCACAGCAGACCATGCAGAAGCCCTGGAGGAGTCATGTGATTAAAAAATCACAGCAAGAGAAAGGAAGGGAGCGGGGCCTCTGGTAGCACTGCCGTCGCTCTTTAACAAGCTTTCCAGAGTAATCACTCTGCTAATGACTTTCACCACTGAAATCAATAAATTCAGACCCCCCCCCCTCCCTTTTTTTTACAGCCTGGCACTAACCTATAAAGGTTCTCCCAAATCATGCATAGGACAGGATGCTCCCAGTAGACTAGAAAGTCATTAGCAGTTTAGGGTATTTAAGCTTTACAGAGCTATTTTTTTACACTGATAAGTCATGGCTTCCAAATGCACTTGTAGCAGAGAGAGTATTTTTTAATGGAGGTATGAAGATCTATGCAGAAACATCCAGGTAAAAGTCTATCAGTCAAAACCTCATATCTCCAGTATGGTTACTTTTCAGGACAATGAGAAAACTCTTAACTTCTTAGTATAACTGAATGTACAGAGATTTTAGAGTGATTCTGGAACATTTCTCTTGGCCCATTCATCTTGAATCATTCACACTATGTAAGGAGCAGCTGGCATTTTCAAATGATGCCAAAAAAGTTGAGAACAAAGGAAAAAGTTGGTCAAACTTAAAGGTTTGATATGACAATCCTGATGTGTAATGTAGGTCTATGTTTTGTTTATCAACCCCTGAAACCGAAAGCTTATTGTTCAATTCATATGATGTCTTGAGATTTATTATTCAATAATTACAATAAATGATTCAGTAAATACTATGAAACTAATATGTAAAAGTGTGGGGCCCAGGATTAATGTAATGTAATGAAATGTGTTCATTGCCAGGAGCTTATAAAGGGTAAACAAAGAAAAGGAGTCAGTAAAGCCCAAAAGGCCTTTCCATGATACAATGGTGGACATAATAAAGCTAATTACCCAGCGTTTCTTGCAGGGAGTGGATAGGACTGCAGTGTCAGGTTTAACAAAATTAAAAATGAAATGCTCCACCCACTACACAGGAATTGCTTTGCAAATCAAACAAATAACTGATATTTTGACAAGCACTGACAAAGAATCCTTCAAATCCTTCATACAGTACTGTGCAAAAATCAGATATCACTGTTTATGTATTTGTTTTCCAGTCAAAATGGCTGTTAAGTACAAGTTATTTATTTTTCAGGAGGGTTCATAAATGGAATTCCTAACAACTGTGCAATTCCTGGTAGACCACCAAAACTGTGAGCATCAGATAAACATCACTTAAAGCTTTCATTTTAGAGAAAGAGGAGAAAATCAAGCTCCACTCTTGCTTCAGATCAGAAAAATCCACAGGTGTTTCTGTCCATCCTTCCACTATGAGAAGACAACTTAACATTGAGTCTGAAAGGATGTGTAGCTGTCAAAAAGCCTTTACTGAGAAAAGGAAACAGACAAAAAATAAGCTGCTGATGGTCTCAGAACAATTGTCATCCCAGAGCCTGTCTGGGATTACTTGGACTGTGAGTAGCAGAAAATGCAACCAACTTCTATGACTGAAGGAAAAGTATCCCTGCAGATGTCTTTGAATAACTGAAAGAAAAAAATGGAAAGAATGGAAGCTCTAATAAAGGCAATGGGTGGACACACTAAATCCAAAAAACAGTGATATTCTGGTCAGTTGTTTAAGCTTCTGGTTAATTTTCTGTGAAATATTTTCTGATTTTTTCAAGAAAAAAAAATCAGAAAATATTTCACAGAAAAAGGAGTCAGTAAAGCCCTAAAAGCCTTTCCATGATACACTGGTTGAGATAATAAAGCTAATTACCCAGCGTTTCTCCTAGGTGCCTTGCAGGGAGTGGATAGGACTGTGGTGTCAGGTTTAACAAAATGACAATAAAACGATCCACCCAGTTCACAGGAATTAAACACACACACACACACACACACACACACACACACACACACACTTTCTATGCTGCTTATCCTTCTGGGTCGCGGGGGGAGCTGGAGCCTATCCCAGCGGTCATTGGGCGGAAGGCAGGATACACCCTGGACAGGTTGCCAGTTCATCGCAGGCAAATTAAACAAATAACTGATATTTTGACAAGCATTGACAAAGAGTCCTTCAAATCATTTATACAGTACTGTGCAAAAGTCAGATACCACTGTTTATTTGATTTCTAGTCAAAATGGGCATTAAGTACCGATTTCATTTAATGGCTGTTTTGACTGGAAATTGAATAAGCAAAGGGCGGTCTCTGACTTTTACACAGTACTGTATAAAGGCATATTTAATTGAACATGCATTAGCATCCACACTCACAAATGCATTCAGAATAGAAAGAACGATTGTTTGCTTCAAATGAACTTGGAATGCCAGTGATGCGGGGTTGCTGAGCAGCAGGCCTTCTGGATTTAGGTATTCCACAGGAATCTCTCAGCTATCCCCAGTACAGCAGGGCCAAAAGAACTGGTGGTCTAATTTGAATATGCTCTAAATTCTCCTCCTACATGCCAGATGGTTGAAAAACACACTACTTAGTTTTCATACCTTTCCTCTTTAGCAGCTGTCAAGACATGTTTTTCATGTTTTTAGATGGTTAAGAAATGTAATAGCTGACTTGAGAGCCAGGTGTGCTTTACGTCCAAGACAGAAAGGAGTCACTGATGTTAATCTGTCTGTGGAGCTGGACAGCTTAATTAGTTGATTGATTACTGTTATCGTGCCAGAGATAGCGAAAGTTAAACAAGTGGCTTCCGATAAGTGTAACTGAGCATGTAATGGTTTCAAGCAGGTCACCAATTAGCCAAAGTGACAATACTTTGAAGTGCTTTTCCATCCCCATTACTGCTTTGAACTGGCTTTAGCTTTAATGAGGGAGGAGAAAGAAAGCACGTTTTGATGTTTGGATTACTTAATTTTCATTGACACTAAGTTCTGCTTGTTCTAAATTGCATCCTGATGCAGTAGAAATATTCCAAGCATTCTCTTTGTTTGCCACCTTAGCACAAATATTGTTTTTCCAGTTATATCTTCATGTAAATTTGTTCAGCGTTTGCCCACAGTGAACAAGCTTGTTAAAGGACTCATCGTCTGATCTTATCCATTTGCCGGTCAGAATCTTTTTTTCTTTCCCTCTTCCATTCAGAAGGTGCGAACCTTTTCTTCGTGTTGCCAAGCAACCCAGGCTCCCATGAGTCTTTGCCTTTGAATGAGTTCCACACGCTTGCAGAGTCCAAACTAACAATGCAAAGGAGCCCAAGCAGGGCTCAGTAACATGTCAATGGCAGGAATGCTCACCATATAATCATCAATGGAGAGCAAATCCTGTAGATGAGAATCAGTTCTAATGAGGAAAAAGATTAAGCCTAATTATTTACTAAAACTAAGTTTTAATCGGGAATCTCCATCAGCTTTAGATCTGGTGTGATATGCACAATAATAGTAATTAACACAGCTGGTTAATGTCATATTTTCCCTGACAAGCCGCATCCATTTACTTGTCTACAGCATCTTGTTACCCTAGATCTGACCTCTTGTTATTCTACTTACCTGTGTTTACTTTGTAACCCCATTTAGTAATTATTAATCCAATAATCCTGTGTTTAGATTTGTGTCGGCATATGTACATAACATGTCATGGGAGATGCCATTATGCTGTCATGAGTTGTCATGACAGATTATAGTGTCATATTGCCATTACCATTATGACATATGTGATAACATGTGAGTTCATTACAGCTTACAACAGTCCACAGCAAGAATTAGCATGTGACATGACATTAAGCATTATGGCATCCTTACAATTACAGTAATGGTAACATGACACTTTTATATTACCAAAAAGAATCTGACAACTTATGACAGCATATAACATCTGCCATGACATATTAATGGCATGGTTATGTCAATGTTATGTAGCAGGGTTCAAGTAAAGTGTCACTGAACCTCACAAAAACATCCAGCCTTCTCGCTGGCCCTGCTGTTATAGTTGAGTTTACATTTCAATATTGAAACACAAAGAGGAGAAAGAGAGTAAAGCACTTACCCTGACATACAGTACTTTATCCCCCACACGGTAGCGGCCTTTAGGCTGCTTCTCAATGCAGAACTTCACTGGACATCTGCACGGTGGGTCTTCTGAAATCTGTTTAACCTAAAGCGATGGGTACAAAGTGTTTAGCTGTGCACTAATCTTTCATCAAATTCTCAAATGTAGAACAAAAAAGACATCATTTATGTAGCATGATTCCTACGAAGTTCTTCTTTGCAATTTTTCTAAATGTGCATAGCTGCATAATGAATTACTGGACTTATACATTAAATACCAAAACGTGGCAAAAATATACTTTTTCTTTCCACAAGACAGAAAATAATATACACACAGTTAACTTTTCATCAATTTCAAATCATAATAAAGTATACTGTCTTCTGTTTATAAACAAAAATGTGGCATTGATAGAAAGTGTCCACTTGCAGCTTCACCTCACCGCATCCTATTCATTTCAATGGAAGCTTGGCCACATCAAGTGATGCATGATGGTTTGCGGTGTGGAGAAATCTGCTTTGCTGCTTAGCAAAAAAGTTCAACAGACTTTAACTTTATGTGAATGAATGCGGTTGCTGCATTGCATTTAGCCAATCAGGTCACTTTAGACTGGTCTTTGTCAGAAATGGGAAACATAACTTTCTCTGAGAGTAGAGAGGGACAACAGCGACTGTCTTTCTCTTCTTTGAATCCATGACAGTTTTGCATAATAATGAAAATATGAAGTTTTCTGCAGAACTGTTGACATGATTTGAGTGGGAAGGCAAAATGTAAATCATATAGAGCTTGTTACTTGCTAAGGTAGCTAGTTTGCTAGTAAGACTGAGCAAGCTAATTTCTAGCTTGTGGGGATGACAGCATAGAAGTGTCCACCAGGGGCAAGGAGAGAGATCTGGTGCAGTGGAATGAGGTGAGAAAAAAAGCAAGTGGACATGTACTGTAACAGTGAGAAAGAATTAATAGAGAAGTGTGACATACTTTTGTTCATGGCAGCAATAACTGTGACTTCTAAGGGTTAAGAATTTAGAGTGAAGGCTGGGTTTGCACATATAGATGAATATAGACTGGCATATTGATGCTGTCCAAGAAAAATAGTTTCTCCATTTTTGTTGATTTTTATTTTTCTGTGTGAACATTTCATGATGAATGGACCTACAGAAATGCTCACAAAATCACTTGGAATAAAACATTTTTTGCCTTAACTTAAAAAAAAGAGACAGCTTTCGCATGAGTTATGGTGCTTTATTCTCCAGCTGTTGTACATAAGCAGAGTTTTTCTCTTTACTAACAGTTCATATGCTACTCAGCTCAGATCTCACTCTCTTAGCTCTCTGCTCACACATATATACTAGGCGGCTACTCCACCCCCACTCTCCACAATAAGAGTCCTTAGCAAAATAACCCAGTAAATAAAAACTAGAAAACAAATAACACAAAACTAACATGCAACAACATTTCTGCTTTTCACTCACAGCGTCATCCAGCAGGCAGTCTGCACTCCTTTTCCCACTGGACTTGCTGAGGCGGCGTGTGGTGGGTGTGAGTGCTTTAACAGGTGAGGGGGGAGTGGGTGAGGTAGGCTCAGGTTTAGGCTCCTGCTGGGTGACAGGTTCAGGGATTTGGGTTGGAGGAGGGGAGGGGCTCTGGGCTGGAGAAGGAGATGGGGCTGGAGAAGCAGGTGGAGTGGAGGGAGAGATGGAGGCAGGGATAGGAGAAGGTGAAGAAGGTGGAGGTGGTGATGGAGCAGTAGGGAAGAAAAGAGGAGGAGAGGAGGGAGATGGTAACGGTGAGGCAAAGAACATGGATGGAGAGAGAGATCCATTTTCTTCCTTCTCAAGCTCTCTCTCCAGTTTGACGAGTTCGGGGGCATCGATTCCGTACCTGTGAGAGATGTTCATTCAGTGTGTGGAACATCACTATTAAATAATATTAAAAAAAGTCTCTTTAAAGGCTGAGCTCTTACTTTGAGGCAATTCTCCCAAGCTGCATGAGACACAAGCATACATTGCGTGGATGCCTGTGAAGAACTGACAAACATGCAAACGGTAATCAGTGAGCAGCAATTTGACTTAAAAGTGCACGCTGTGATTTTGGAACAAAGAAGAGCCACTCGATATTATTAACCTGATTTTTTTCTTTTGCTGATCAGTGAAATTCCAGCACATTTTAATTAGCACTTTTAGTCAAACACCCAGCCAAATACATAATAATGTAAAATGAAACTATCCACAGATAATGCAGTCTTTGGGCAAGATCTGGTACCACCTATCGGTTATAACACCACACACTACCTCATTGTACACCACGACCAAAAAAAAAAAAACAATTTTCCATTACACTGTGTGAACATCTAATGATGTTTTTATATTCTTCAGTATATTTAAGTGAAGAGACTTCAGCTAGAGACTTTCACTCAACACCTTTAGTGGCATACTTTCACCTTTAATTGAGTAATATTTTGACACAGTACCCGTATTTTTACTTTTACTTAAAAAGCTATATATATATATATATATATATGTTTATGTATATATTTATTTATTTGTAATTTCTACAATAATATACTGTGTTCAAGCCAGTATGATACTCTGTATTGAATTTTCTAGATTCTGAATTCTATAGTACAAGCAGATCATGTACTGCTATGTAATATTATTGTAATAACAATGTTATAACACATCGAAACACAGAATAATCAGCTTTACTGTAAAATTAGGCACCAAAAGAATTTTTCTGGAGTAATAAAGGACCATTGTCTCCACTGCAATTTGATTTATCACAAAAAACAACATATCATAAAAATAAAAGATAATTCTTGAAAGTTGTCTGTAATGCGTTTTGCTATGAAGCTCTAATTCATATATTGTTAACAGTTTGAACAGCACTACAACATGACTGACACTCTATATAGTGCACTATAATGGCTACCACAGCTGCTTAAATGCCTAAATTAAATCTCAGGACACAGAAGTCTACAAAAAGCACATCGCATGCTAAAAATGATGGACCAAGACACATCGCATAACACACTGACAATGAGCAGGATGAAGAGGTGACAATCAGTCGCAGCCCGAGATGCCCAAGGTAATAAGACATGAAATATCCAAATTATAAAGGAAAGCAGCTACTCTCTTTCAAGACCTGCCCATTTCCCTGAGGCGCTGGGCACGTATCTTTAGAAAAACATGGGCAAGCTGAGGACTGCCGACTATTTTGCGTCTCTAATCATCCACAGTCTTCCAAATGCTTGTGCTGATTAAAAGATACGTCCGCTTTTTCTCCACCTCATTTCTGAGGCTTTGCAACCCACACACAAAACAAACATGGACATGTTTATTTGGATAAGGCTGTTGTGCAAGTGAAAGATGATTCCCATAGAAAAGTTAGCCCATGTTTGTTCTGAACTGTGTTGAAACTTGTCTTAAATGCATCACTTAGAATATTAAAACCAAAGTGTTTTGTTTTTGGTTTTTATTCCATTGACATGTGATTTCTGGTGAAATGAGGTTGTAACACAGGTAGGACTTCTTAAGGAACTAAACCAAGTGTGCTATGTTATGATTAATGATGGCCCTTAAATAAGTAGGTAGTCATTTGCAAACAAGGTCTTCAAAGTAAACAAATATGAGGGCGTAACATTAACTGAAAGCACTGGCTGACAAAAAATATTCACTTAATTTATGACCTTGACCCAAAAAGACCAGACTGCACACAAACATCTAAATCAGGACAACATCTGCACGTGTGTGGATCAGTGGAAAGATCTACACTCTTAAAGATAAAGGTGCTGAAAAGGTTTCTTGGAAGAGGTGCTGAAAAAGAACCATGTTTGATCCTCGCACATCCAATGGATGTTTTTTAAAACATTTTTCTAAATGAGATGTGAGAAAGTTTTTTAAAGCTTAAAGAATGGACATGAAATGGAAATGAAGGAAATGGAACTGAAATAAATCCTTCATTTTTTTAAGTGTTATGTTATCAATTTGTGCCCACTTATGATGTTTGCATTGTTTTATGTACCACTTTTATGTTTTTATGTTGTTTTATGTCCACTGCTGCGCTCACTTCACTGGCTTCCTGTAGCTGCATGCATCAGATTTAAAACCCTGATGCTTGCCTACAAAGCCAAAAATGGACAAGTCCCTCCCTACCTAATGGCAATGGTCAAAACTTGAACTGTACCTTGAGCCCTTCGAGCTTCAAGTACAGCTCGGCTTGATCTGCCTTCCTTTAAGATGCATGGAAGACAAGCATCAAGACATTCTCTGTACTGGCACGAACTCCCACTGGCTGTCTGAACAGCAGTCTCTCGCGGTCTTCAAACGCAGACTGAAGACACATGTCTTCTTACAGCACTTAAGTGAGCACTGAGTTAAGTATTTATTGTAATGTATTGTACTGCACTTACTTATTGAAATGTATTGCACTGTGCTGTGTTTAACTCTGTTCCTTTTTCTCTAGGTATCAACATGGGCTTTTGTTTCTAGCAGTATCTGAGCTCAGGACCAGCTTTCTCTCTAACCTATTTGTAACTAGCAAAGATACTTTCTCTAGGTAGACAAAGCACTTTTTTGTAAGTCACTCTGGATAAGAGCGTCTGCTAAATGCTGTAAATTAAAATGTGATGTACCAAAATCAGCCATAATAATTTTTACATCACTATTTTCCAACCTCTCCTTGTCCCTTTTCATGTTATTGCACCTTTAAAACTAATGTATTGTGCCTCATTTAAAAAAGTAGTCTATGCTGAAACATTACTTATAACTTCAGTGTGAATGGCTAGAGCTAAACTGCTGTAGGCTGAACAGGTGGATATAAATTAGTTGATCTAGATAGATAGAGGCTTTTTTAGTGCTATTTTCTGTACATGGACTATAAGAACTGGGAAGTAAATGGTACATTTTGAGATTTTTTTATTTTCTTTAAAATTTTCCAAGATTTGGGCCCATTAAAGGATTTACCTAGAACCATATGTCTAAGCCAAGAACCCGAGTGTGGGTGCAATAAGAACATGCATTTTTGACTTTTAGTGTTTAGAAGTTTTAGAATGTATCTCAAGCTTTCATTAAGCTTTCATTGTTGTTAATTTATCAAAAAATATGTTCCATTAACATCCATTCAAAATGAAATCATCAAAAGTTAGCATTTCAGAGGTTTTGTCATAACAGGGACGGTATACAGTATGTGTACATATTACATATGTAAAAGTTTGGGCCTCCAATTTAACATATTAGGAGAAAATAAGACATAAAGTGTGGCCTATGCAAAATGTTAGATTTTATGTTTTATTTTTCCAAAATGTTAAACATATTTGAGTTATTTTTACTCAGAAAATCAACAAAACAAAGAACCAATGTTTTATATATGACTGTAAATGCTAAAATAAGACCTATGAGTCTAATTATAGCCAATTACAGAAAAGAGGACTTTGGTCCATTCAAATAAAAAACTAAAAAACTGCTCTAGTTTGCTTTTGGATTGCCATCTCTTTGTGTCCATCTTTCTTTGGTAACACATGAATTGAGGGACTTCAATATCAAATCTTTGCTTCTCCTCCTCAAGTGTCTACTCTTTTCCTTTGTCTGATCAAAAGCATTCCCTTTTCCTGTTGACCTAGCAGCACTGTCCTCCTTTTCCTTTGTTTTCTGTCTTTCTCTCTATTTTTCATCACACAAATGCAGTGACAGCAGGGGCCGAGGGGGTCAGGCCGAGTGTTACAGATACTGCACTGCCATTCAGCTCTGCTCCCTGTGGAGTTCAGAGAGAGAGAGAGAGAGCGAGAGAGAGAGAGAGAGAGAGAGAGAGAGAGAGAGAGAGAGAGAGAGAGAGAGAGAAAGAAGTGTCTCCCTGGAGTTTATACCAATAAAACAAGTGAAACTATTGAGGTTAATATAATATTAAAATGATGTTTAATTAAAAAGAAGGACAGAGACAGAGAAAGAGAGAGAGAGAAAAAGGAATATGAGTTCATGCTGATGAGTGTTAGTGGAAAATTTAAGCATTGTTCACCCTCACCACAAAAGATGAGCCAAGTTATGCTTGGTATCTGAAATTTGTTTCTTTAGTTTTGCACTGGAGCTACAAGGCTAATGTAGCTAAATGTAGGCAATGAAAGCTTATAATCCACCAATTAGCATTGCACAAACTACATGACTACTTGCTTCAAACTTGTTTTTGTGGTTTCTGACATGCTACACACACGCATTATGTAAGCCACTGATCCTTTTGGGTCGCGGGGGGTGCTGGAGCCTATTCCAGCAGTCACTGGGTGTAAGGCAGGAAATGACATTCTAACATATCTATAAAAATATACAGTACTGTACAAAAGTCAGATATCACCTTTCATCTGAGGCACAAAAGCCTCAACAAGTAAAAATTACACCACATTTTTTGATATGTAGTATGTTTGTCCTTTGGCTTTATTTCAGCTTCCATTCATTTTAGGAGCCTTGCTTTCAGCATTTCAAAGGAATTTGCAGGAATATTTTTCCACACCTCCAAAGTTCAGTTTTGGAATTTGGTTGCACTTTCTGCTTCTCACAACCCCAAGTAATCCCAAACACGTTCAGTGATGTTGAGGTCTGGACTCTGGGGTGGTCAGTCCATTGTTCTAAAAACACCAGCAGCTTCTTTGTTTGATCCACTGTTGTTCTTTTTTTGTGGACAGAATGGACAGGATGGACAGAAACGTCTGTGAATTTTTTCAGATCTGAAGCAAGAGTAGAGCTTTTCTGTGTATTGTTTATCTGATGGTGTTAGTTTTGGTGGTCTACCAGGGTCTTGCACGGTTGTGGGAAACCCAGTTTTCTCTGTTTCTTTTAATCATTTTTTGGTAGTTTCTGTTTTTTGACTTATTTTCCGTTGACTTTCTCCTTTCCTTATGCAAGCAGATTATCGTATGTATAATATTATCAATAATGTCTCCTGAAAATTAATAACTTGTATTTAATAGCCATCACGAGGGTGGTCTTTGATTTTTTCACAGTACTGTAGTTTTACAGACAGCAATATGAAGCAGCGTCTGAAATCACACATGTAAGTTTGATTTACTGAACTGTTCCTTTAAGAGGGATTTTGGCAGAGGCAGATGTCTCAGTAGTGTAAATGAGTCTGCAGTCACACTTCTGACTCACTTTGACACACGCTCAGGCTATCTGTGCAGGGCTGCACACCGAGACTCTCACATGCTGAGAGTGTGATACAGTCAGTGTACCATACATGGACATATCCTCTAACACACTGAGGCTTTGATGCACTCTACGCTGTCACACAGAAACACATTGAATACATAAATACATAAGGAGATGTGGAAATGCTTGGGCTGAGATGATGGTAGCAAGCAAAATGAAAACATCAACCACAGATGAACTGGCTGTGACTTGGGCAATAAACACTTTATTTACCTATAGGTGCTCATTTTCCTCTTCAAAGGAACAAACTACACACTGGTAGGAAAAAAAGGCTGATGTTAGTATTTAAAGGGGAATTCTGGCCTAAAACTTGTTTTTAGTATGTGATTTATTATGTTATATAATATTCTGTAGCACAGCACTGCATCCCTCAGCTACACCATTTAGACAGAATTAACAATTTCATATCCTTTTGTCTTTTCATTTGTCTTTTCTGTTCTCTCACTACAATATGTAACATGCATTATGCAAATACTTTGAACAAACATTGCTAAACAGCAATAAAGAAATCCTGACTGCTAGCATAGCCACTGCTGTAGAGGCTAATAAATGCAGACATTTGGGATGGAACTTTTTTCTCTCCTGCTACTGATTCCGATACCTGAACTTAGAATATTGGGTGATACAGAGTACCATTATTTTTTCTTTTTCCAATTAGAAGTTGTATATCTCACATAATTTGCTGTTAAATATGAAAAGATTACATGATGTACCTTTTTAAACAGTTTTTGTAATTGAGAATTTTTACAATGAGGCACACTGGACAAGCATTTCATATTAAACCATAGTTTTATAATTTATTACCACTGTAGACATTTTAAATATCACCTTTTTATCTCAAAATCGGTCAGGATGGTTATTTTTAGTTTACATTAAACTGATAAACATGTAAAGGTCTGAAATAGTTGTTTGATGATAATGTTGGTGCACTTAAAAGCATAACTGCACTAACTTTTTTCGATAACTTTTACTTACTAATGCAAACCTAATAACACTACTTCTCATTAAATATCTTACTTATTTAGGTGAATCTTGTTAAGATTAGTTAATTTGGATAAGGTCTACAGACTGAAGTGTCTTTTGCCCAAAAAGCTTCCCAGCATTCTTAGCAATTTGGTTGGTTTGTGTTAATAACTCTCATTTTTCTATTGATCAGCGTTCCCATGCTGAAGTGTTAAGTATGGATATATTTTACATGTTTTTGTTATTCTCAGCATGATGGTGTTTTGTGTTCAGGTTCACCAGTTCAGCCTGTAGCCACGAATGCTATCAGTTGCTGGGTACCAGCCCTAATTTCTGAACAGACTGCCAAAGAAGCTTGAAGCCATTTGAGTCTTCAGAAATGGAGAATCTAGCTCATCCAGTTTTTAATTAATATGTGTAGTGAATAAGACAAAATGTAGTAATTAGATCTGCAGCTCTTTGTTCATTACTGTATGAAACAATCCTTTTAAAATAACAGAGTTGTTTCAGATACCAATGCATTGCACACGGATGAATGTTTGCAGCAAAGCACAGGGAGAGATGACACATTATGACAAGAGAGGCTTATATTTTGACAAACTGCGGCACTTTCTAGAAACACATTTGTGGTGCATTTCATGTTTGGGTAGAAATATTAAACTTATCTAAAAATAAGTAAATAAATAAAAAAAAAAAACTTTTCCCTTAACGTGATCATTCACAAGTATTAGCTGTATGTAAAGCATTCAGATTCATGAATGAAACCACAATTTTAATGCATTTTGGAATGACACTTTTATTTCAGAGCAACTATCTAAGTATCTAAGAAACAATATCAATAGTGGATTGGTCACATCTGGCCAATGCTTAATCCATTTAACAAGGTCAGCATCAGTGCCGATACCACTCCAGTGTATATGACCGGTGCATCACCAACAGCTGTAATATTTGGCTTCCTTGTAGTAAAGTTTGCTACCTGGCTTACTTCTGCATTTACTATATAATGGGGGAAATGAAATATCTATCTCAAAGCAGTTGTCATTTTTCATAAAATTCAACCCTCCTTCATGGTACATCACCAGAAGGAGTTTTTTCAAGCCTTAAAGCCGAACCGTCTCGCTCTAGATACTATTGTGGTACGACTGTAGGAGGCGAGATGGCATGTTTAAAAAAGATAATGCAATGGTTAACTTTTTTATTTTGACCATAGTGTTCCTTTAAACCTGCTGCTAACTTATGTATTGGTCTGATATATGTTCTTCTCAATATTAAAGTCAGTAGAGCCTGGACAGATATAACTTCCCCCAACACTCCACGATAATTTGATAAAATTTCTCACTTGTGATTGTTTTTAATATTTTTTTACTTAGTTGGCAGGTATTCAAGTCCAGTTTTAAAAGTGCAAACTTTCAAAGAGAATAAATGTTAATGCCTGTTAAAATGTGTCTCTATGTATGAATTCATGGTCAACAACTGGCCACAAATTGGTTAGTGAAAATTAATGTCCTTCTTTGTGTGCGTTCTACTTGCAGAAGGATGAATCTGTAGTTACTCACCCAAATCTTCTGACTCAAAGAGATGGGATTCGCCCACCCCGATTTTACGGCACCAGTACAGGAAGTTGGCTGTGTTGTCCCGGGCAAAAAAGGAACCGGGGGCAGCACCAGCTGTCCAGCGAATCACACGCCGGATGAAAGTCTGCAGGACACACAGTAACCAATAATGAAAGAATGTATAACCTGTACATTTAAAATCATATTTATAACAAGAGATAACATTGAAATATGATTATGTCACTGAAAATCTCTCAACACAGTAGTCTCCAACTCTGGTCCTGGAGAGCTACCTTCCTCCAGAGCATTATCTGCATTATGCATGACCACGTTATCCTTTGTTCTAAATACTTAAAATGTTTCAGCTATATCACTTATCAGATATTTTTGTAACTCTTCAATTGAAAGCTACTTGAATATAGACTTCATGAAACATACTTAAGCATTTAATAAAATATTTAAAAAACAATATTTAAGTATATTTGGACAGCTTATGTCATTATTCACTGCTTTTTAATTATCTCATTGCTTTTTAATACTAATTTGCTTTTTACATGTTGTTTAATGCTTGTGCATGTATTGTAAAGTTCCTGTCCAGGTAGCCTTCTAATAAAGACTTATTTTTCTTAGTAGAGTCAAAAAAGAAAAATAAGGCAATGATGGAGAGGCACACAGTGACTGGCACACAGATGGCTCATAAGATGGAGGATAAATCCTGCCAGGGACTTTTTATTCTCTCTATTCTTTAGTGCACCATGTTTCAGCCATGGCCTGCTTCCAGAACCATTAAATAACACACCTCGAGGAACTCCTCGATGTGGGGGTGAGAGAAAGGCCAGTTCTATATGCTTCAAAACTCTGTTTATATATTCTCACATCTCAGACTGTGCCAATAAGACTAAACCACCCATGTGGTATATGGGGCTGCAGATTCATAGCAAATACTACCTGTGGAGGAATTTAGATTCAGGCTTCTAGGTTTATTTCACATTCTGCAAACCAGTTCTGTTGCTCACAGGATGCTGATATGGGCTTCTATAGTTTTAATGTGTTTGCAGAAGTAGCTTAGATAGTGAACAGAGTTCTATATTCAATGAATTGTATCAAGTTTCTGTCCATTTTACTGTTTTGCTGCCGGTCACCTGATCCAATCAGACTGAACTTCTCTTTATTCATCCATCTCTTCATCCATCAATACATTCATATAACTATCATTCCATCCATCCATCCATGCATGTAGAGTTTGACTTGAGCTGTCTATACATCTGTATGTCCGTCCATCTTCCTCACCCACCTACACAACCAACCAATCAACCAACCTATCAACCAATCAACCAACCACCAACCAACCAACCAATCACCTTGGTCAATCATCTAACTGACCTTCTCCTCATTCATCCTCTCTTCACTTATCCACCCATCTGTCCATTCATGTACCTATTCATCTATTCATGTGACTATGCAGCCATCCCATCCATCCATCCATCCATCCTCCATTCATGTACCAGTTCACCCATTCATGTACCTAGCCATCTATCCATCCACCTAACAAAAGAATTCAGACTTTGTCTGATGGATGGATTAGGAGAAGGGCTTTATGCTGCACCCTTCAGTGACATACATTCCTATAAACAAAGGTTTGGAAATGGTTATTGGCTTGGTTGCATGGTTATAGAAAAAAAAAGATTGGTATAGAACTTTAAACTTTTAAGTTCTTTAAACTTCAAAATGGTTTCTCACATTTGTACATCTCATTTGTGAACACAGTTCTTAAAAAGCACTATCCATTGAAGGGTCTTTAGAGAACCAAAGTAGTTCCTCTCTAGCATTGTTCAAAAAAAACTTTATTATTAAGAGTGGAAGCTTCAGTTAAGAATATATAATAAGGGTTTTAAGCACCTTGCCATTGCTTGCCAGAATCATCCTCTCCTGTAGCTCCTCAGCCAACTGGCAGAGCACCACTCCAGTCTCCAGCATGTTCATGAAGTTCTCCGCTGTTATATTCATGCCTGAGGGGCAGAAGGACAATGAGGAGGTCAGAGATGGGTCATTAAGAGCACTTTGGCCTAGAGCTGAGTAAATAAATATATAGTCCATGGGAATACAGGTATTTGGAAATACTGATATTGGCGTCACAAAACATACATACACACACACATCATCTAAACCGCTTATCCTTCTGGGTCGCAGGGCTGGGGTTCGGGAAGTGGTGCTGGAGTGCATCACAAAACAATATAGTTTTTTTACAGATATTGACAGACAACAAAAACTTAAAAACTCAAAAGTTAAATGCAATAAAGAATCGTAGAATCATGACGCATTTAGCTTTATGTGGTGTGGATGGGACAGTGCAATTGCACTGGGTTTGGCCAATGCTGAAAACAAACAAATAGTAGTTTGAATAGCAAACTAGGTATTCTTAATGTAGGCCTACAGTCTTAAAAATAAAGGAGTGATGCCATTGAAGAACAACTTTTGGTTCCACAGGCTTTCAGTGGATGGTTCTTTAAAGCACTGTTTTCGCAGTAGAGATGTACAAAGTTTAAGGACCTTCCACATGATTTAAAAGTTCTATACCAAAAAAAAGATTTTCCCAGAGCCGTATGTCCAAGCAAAGACCTTTTATAAAGAGTGCATACACTTCTAGATAAGGGTAAAAGCTGTTTGCTCAGTGTGCAGTACGTTGATTGTTTTTCTTCACTATAAATCCTTCCCTCTTCTACTCCTCCTCTCCCACTTCTTTCTTTACCAAGCACAGCATTCTTCCTGTGCCTCGGGCAACTCGCAGGTGCTCAGAAACATCCTCTAAATACAGCATCACCCCCCCGCCTCCAAGTTCACATGGGCCTGCAGATGCATTCCAGTGCCTGGGTGTTAAATGCACACACATTGTAACTAGGTGGCAGGAACGAGAGGGGAGAGTGAGGAGGAGGAGGAGGCATTCAGAAGGTGCAGGAGGAGGGAAACCACAACAAAACCAAGCCCAAACAGAGACGCCAATGTACAGGGTGATGGCGGATAGTCATTAGCCGCCTCCCCTCGGAGATGAAGCTAATGAAGCTAAGTGCTCTCCTGCGGTCTACTCTCTCCACATGGCCATACCGGCACCATGAGATCATCCAGGAAAAGGAAGAGCATATTGGGAAGGGAGATATAGAGGTGCGTGAGAGAGATTAATGCTGGTTGTTTGTTTGTGTCCTAGCAGCTGCATAGTAACCTGGGGAGTTTGAACAATCCATTATGGAAATACAAATATGGAGTTGCCATTTTAACAGGTCCAGCTACCATATAGGTGCACTCTGTAGGTAAACAGTTACTGAGTGTGGCCCATCTCATGCTGCATAATTTTTCAGGAGCCCTCTGTCCTGTCCATCAATGAACCATAGGACCACTGATAACCAGATATCATCTGGGTGGTGGTCCACTCTCAGCACAGCACTGACACCAACATACACTAGTAGTGGCATGGGAGTAGTGTGTGGTCTGCTGGTTCAATTGTACCAGCTCAGCAGTGTTCAAATTTGGGCAGAATATACTGAAAATGTACTTATGACTTAATACTGAATTCACTGACCTAAATGTTACATGGACATTTTATGTAGCAATACAGGTTCAAAACAGGTATTCTCATAACAACGTCATCTGTGACTGGTCAGACAGATATTTAGGACAGATATTTGCTCAGATCCACCCTGCAGATGGAAGACTGTTTATTTTACTCACCCTCATGAAGGATGTAATGTAGCACCATTTCGAAGCATAATTCAAAGTGAGAGTGCAGACATCACATGGCAGTTAATTGGTTAACTGGTCAATGGTTAATTGCTTGGAAGTTTTTATGCTCATGTTCATCAAAAACTATAGCATATAAATAAAATATATTTGAATTTTGTCATACTGATATTTGCTCTTCTACTTTGTGTTCAAAAAATTAAATTTGTTTGAATTTGAATTTTGTTTGAATTCATTCGCAAACACTCCACTGCTGAAGAGACAGTTCTATCATCACTCAAAACAGAAATGCTGAGATAAATAATAGATTCATCACTCTGATTTATCAGTCCACTCAGGCTTTAGTGTTCAGTGTTTGTAAAGAAGCTTTTTGTTGAGTTCCTGTTTAGAATCTAATGAACATGTTCTCTGTTTGCTAATTTTACAATAGTAATTGTATAGAAGTAGAAGTAATTGTATTCTGAACAATTTTCAAAATGTAATATCGACTGAATACGCATTTCTGGATTCTGGCAGTGTTGCCGGGGGTTTTTTACACACCTCAGTTTCACTGTTGGGTTCAGAACAGTCTGCCAACCAAAAATATTCAGCCAACAGTGATCCTTTAAACTGACCACCATTGAAGGGCTGGAGCACATGTGTCAGGCTCCAATCCTTGTGGGCCAAAACACTGCAGGCTTCAGCGCACTGGAGCATTAAACACACCTGATTCAGCTCATCAGCTGATTAGCAAGGCCTTTATCAACTGAATTCAGAGGGCTGGATGAAGGTAAACACTAATAGCCCAGAAGGTCCCCAGTTTGACATGCCTGGGCTAGAGGAAGACTAACACAGCTTGTGAATAGAAAAAAAAAAAAACAAGCTATGGTTTCTATATGTAGATCTATAACGTGTACCAGCAAAGTACGTATGTTTGATACAGTGGCCAGTAAGTGTAAGTCTGGTAGCTCATGTAAGTTTTCCACAGATTTCTCCACAGCTCTGTTACTTTTATGATTTTGCTATCTTCTCTTGAATAATGTTTCTGTCACCTTCTGGCTTCCTCAACCTCTAAGGTGGCCTCATGTCAAAGCATCCAGACCAATACAGGCTCTGACATGTTCTGGTTTATTTTTGAAAGCCAATCTGCTCTTTAGAATACCAGCAGATGTCTTTCCATTGATCCTACGCTTAGTGGAATTTAGGGAATTCAGATTATCAGGTCTGTCTGAAAACACCTTTATTCCCCATCATCTGATACAGGTCATGGAATAGTCCATTTCATGACATGCGTGCATTTGAAAATGTCTTTTTATCTATAGATAGCCCTTTAAAGCCTCAGAGCCAGCGTGTACGCCCACACATACAGTTCCTTTTGAATTACATAACTTATATTTTCATTTAACAACAGTTGCTATTTATTTCATACTAGTTACTAAAGTCCTAACAAGGTTCAGGGATTTAAGGCATGTATTGACAAAACTATTAATAGTACCACAGAGCTGGAGTTTTAATTTATGGTTTGTGTCCACTTCAGAGTTAGGATACATCTAAATATTACAGAAAGAAAAGTGTTGCTGTTATTATTATTATTATTATTATTATTATTAGTAGTAGTAGTAGTAGTAGTAGTGCTAGTAGTAGTAGTAGTAGTAGTAATAGTAATAGTAGTAGTAGCATATCTGTAAGTACATCTGGTGATGCTTCCAGACATATCTCAGTAATAATAATAATAATAAATAAATAAATAATAATAATAATAGTCACACCTCATTTGGTTATTTTCCATGCATTTATCCAATTTAGAGGATTCTTACTAGCCCAGGCCTCAGTCATGTAGAGCTCAAATAACTCTAAAATGTCCGTCATCACTGTGAACATCTGGTCTATATACACACGTTCATGTTTTTGTGTATATTTCAACATTGTGCCTCACTGAACGTGACCTTCAGAGGCCCTTTCACTTCAAATGTATGATTTTTGCAACACATTTGCAAGCAAAAGCAAGTTTGCAAGTCCTAAACTAAGCTAATCTAGAACCAGCTACTCTTTTCTAAATCCAACTTGCAACCATTACAAGGAAAATGCATGGCTGACCTCAGAAGCAACTTTCACACACTCTTTCTCACATTCTTACCCAGAATTGTGTTGAGCCAGAGGGCGAGGTCCTCCTTCATGGGCAGCAGGCTGGCTTCATGCCTGCAGGCCAGCCACTCGCTGTAGTGCTGCAGGCAGGAGAGGTCAGGCACGGGCTCCCGCCGTGGACTCAAAGGCCCGTTCATTCCGGCCCAGTGTGCGGGCTGCTGGAACTGACCACACAGAAATTAGATTTTAATAAATACATCTGGACATATTAATATTGAACACAGTGACATGAACAATGACTGAACCATGACTGTATTTTAATATTTTATACAAATAGTAAAACCTTATTGTCTTTTCATATTGCTCTTGTGTTATTGTTGTGCTATCCAGTGTGAACTCCCCTTTTAAGTGTTGGTTCTTCTCAAGGTTTCTTCCTCTTGCTCTTAGGGAGTTTTTCCTTGCCACTGTAGCCGTATTATTTGGCAAAAAAGACTAAACTTTACAGAATCATTTGGTGAAAAATCTAATTTACAGAATGTAATTGGTCAGTCGAGGATGGAAGCCCATTCCCACCTCCTTCTCTGTTTTTTGGCAGTAGTGTGTTAAAATATTGACTTATTATCTCAAAAAAGTTACAAATTTACTCCTTTTCTTTAAATATTGATTATTAAAAATGAATGACTAAAGATTTTGAGATGTTATGTTGAAATGAGTTATTGAAAACAACAAAGTAATATCATTATTATAAGGAAATATTAAATCATTAAATCAAAGTAATATCATTCATTATAATGAAATATTAAATCTTTATTTTGATGTAGGTCATTATTTCAACATAATAATTCAATATTATGACAATGTAAGTGATTATTTTGAGATGCAAAGTTGAGAATTTTAGAAAAGAAGTCATTATTTTGAGATACTAAGTCAATATTTCTAGAACAGTAATCATTTGTTTCAGATACTAAATCAGTCCTCTTTTTGAAGAAAGGTTTTGGCCAGATAGCTGTCAGATAGCTGCTACTGTTTTTAGTCATGTAAAGTACTTGTCTATTTTAATAAATAATAGTATGTCATACAGTGTCAGGAACCACACAAACAAGTCTTTAGTCTCGTAGCAACTCAATACAGTTTGAGTCAAGTGTGCCATGATTTAAGTATGTAGTAGGCTTGTTGCTAGTTGGGCTTCTGTTCTTTGTTAGCAGTGCTGGGGGTGATGTGGCACAAAGTAATGTGTACCAGTAATGTAAAAGTAATGGAATGTTACTTTTCCCTGTAACAAGTTATGTAACTTTTTACTGTTACATCAATATTAACTCCACACATTGGATTTAAAACACAAACTCTATATGTATTATCTGCGCCTGTTTGTGTATAATTTATTTGTGTGTTCCCTGCGTCACTGATGGAGCAACTTCCATTATGACTGGCAAAGAGCAAGAACTTAACATTGTTGTCAACATGATGAGTGATCTATGGAAGCTTCTAAACAAGCTAATGTGAAACTGATGGATACAGATCCCAATGGCTGGCTAGTTTCTTGGTTTTAGAAGCTGTTAATAATTTTATTCAAGCATACATGGCTGTATTGCTCAGAGTAAAGGCAGAGACAGTGATATGCATTTTTAATTATGTTTGTATACATGATATTTCTTTCTAAGTGAAATACTGAAAAGGGGTATTCATTTTTCTACTTTCCAATTGGCACAGATTTGCATAAGTAACGTAGAACGTATTAACATCTTGCAATTGACTACTTTTTTATTACCTACCCCAACACTGTTTGTTTAGCATGAGTTTTGTAGCATCCGGGCAAAACTAATGAAGCATGTTTTAGATGCTAAACTTGTCTTGACTCATTGCATTTTGGGTGAATAGAAAACTATGTAATTTAGATGTTTTGCCAAACTATTCCTTTAACCATATATTAAATATATTCTGACTGAAAAATAACAACAAAATATCCTGGGCAAAGGCTGCTTTGGTACGTGCAAAGATTGCTTTGAAGGCCTTTTGTCCACTGTTTGTTATGCCACACTCTGACAGGTTCATCATAAAACCAGAGTATATTTATTTAAAGGACTAAACTTGGACCATGCACAATGTAGGTATTCTGTGTGTACAGTGCAAATCCACCTAAGAAAAAAAAGTGTAGATGTAAAGTGCTGACACACAGAGACTCTGCAACGGTGGAAGGACTGAACAGAACTCGTTCTTGGCTGGGTTATAGAGGTATGCCGCTCATATGTCTGTCTTTTTCTATGGGCTACTGTCAAATCCAGCCATAGTTGGGTTTATACCAGCTCAAATGACGCAGCTACTCCAGTGACTGTGCTTACAAAACTATGGGCTGACAGAGTAAAAACTTTGGGAGATGTAGGAACTCAACAAGGCTGACTGCGAGATGTGTACTACATTTATTATTTTCAAAGAATGTATCATTTTTGAAGCAGGGGCTTAGTATTTAACTGACCTTAGACCTGACCTTAAGACCTCAGAGTGTCAGAGTTAGATGAAAGATAATTAGCTGAATGCGGAAAAACTCTGAGGAGCAATGACAGAACATGTACAGTATATACATAAGACTATGCAAAAACAAATGCTCACACACAGTTTTCCCTCCTACAAAAATATACACAAACTTCACTACACTGAAAGCAGCCAAAAGCAGAAAAAACATGGAATGAGCCAAGAGTTGGTCCAAAAGGTCTATATTATGAAATAAAAAGAATTCTCCTTCTTTTTTTGAAGTGCATACAGTCCAGACACATAAACTAAGCTGGAAAAACAGCACATTTTACTATAAATTGTTTTTACACATTACACAGTAATTTTCAACACCATAGCATGGAACAACCTTAAATATGACACATTCTGCAAGCTTAACGAACAATTATTAATTGCATCACAATATTATTATCAGCTGAATTTAACATTCTGAAAAAAAAATATTAATAAGTTTAGGCACCTTTCAATCAGTACTTGCAAAGATCACCGGTTAACAGTCTTTCTCTTGATTTTGTTCTTTTCACATCATATTTGAGATCTAATCACAGATTTCCAATAATATTCACAGACACACACACACACACACCCACACACACACACATTATGTAAGCTTCTTATCCTTCTGGGTCGTGGAGGGTCATTTAAAAACCCTCATCTTTCATTTCTTTAAGTACTTCAGAGTTGATTTTGATGTGTGTTTTGGATCACTGTCTTGCTGTAATATTCAGTCTCTGTACAGTTTCACTTTCTTCACTGACCTGACAATGGGACATTAACTTCCCGAATGTGTTGATATTTAGTACATTCCTTGGGGATTGTTGCTAAAGAGTTACATTTTTTGTTTCATCAGACCACATAATTCTAAAATGCCTCTGGCTTATCTAGATGTTATTTTGGACACTTCCAACATTGAGTTTTGTGATGAGATCACAGTCTAAAGTCTTATCTTGCTTTGTAATAGTCAGCTGCCTGGATGAGCTAATCTAATAGTTGAGCATAAGTACAGCACCCTGAGAGGTTTGAAAGATCACATCATTTATTTCGCTCTGAAATTGTCTACACCTGACTCAGATTAAGGCAAATGAGTCAAATAAGCTCTGAGACATTAAAAAAATAACTTAACATAACTGAAGTTGTGGCCAAACTTTCATACATGTAACATATTATTTTAGTTTTTTCCCCCCATGTATTAAAATCAGCAAAGAAATGGTAATCATGTGTTTAAATTTGTTTCATGCAGCTGTTGTATTAATTTCTTTTCATTTAGGAAATCAACAAAACATTTACAAAGCATTTGGTGAGGGGTGCCCAAACTTTCGCATACTTATATTTGTCTATGCAGCCTACAACAGTTTAGCTCTGCCCGTTCACTATGAAGTAATCAGAAATGTTTTGGCCCAGACTTCTTTTTTGAATGAGACACAACACAGGGCAGCCAATCAGAACAGAGCTCATTTCAATATGCCCATCTTAAAGGCACTGTTTGTTTACAATGGCCTACATGACCCAATGCATAGTACAATGAAAAACAGGTTGCAAACTAATAAACACGCTATACAAATTCAGAAAACACTTTTACCAACATGACAACACCTGAATTATGTTTCACAGACGCACTGCAAATACAGGAAATACATGCGACTTCAGAAACACTACCCAGCCAGTCACAACACAATGGAAATGAGATACAACATAATAAAAATGTTTCTGGGAGACTCTCAAAGGGATATCCATGATGGAAAATCACTGACAGAAGTTGATAAGACCACAGAAATCATGGTTAACCTGTCCAGCCAGGTAGCTGTGTGACATGCCATAGCTATACTATGATAGTTATCATTCATATCTACTATTGCTATTTAAAAATTCACAGTTACACTCTGCATGTAATTTTAAGAGATTAAGAGAGGTTATAAAATGGTCATGTAAAAATCAATTATGAATGTTTTTGCTACATAAAATCATACAAACATCACAAGTGGAAAAATGCAGGATATGGGCCCTTGAATAAACACATACACAAATATTACTGCTAGGCCTAGGACACTTTTGCAAAGTCAGCAATGACCAAACCACTAAAAAGAGCCATTTTTGAACAACAATTATTATTTCTGTGGACGAACTCGAGAAAATTTTGCATATATAGACTTCCACTGTTAAAAATTTATTCAAAGATATTTGAAATTTGTGCAAGTCATCAGAAATGTGGGCATTCCCCCTTCTACCCAAACATACACACAACTTCACTACACTGAGAGCAGCCCAAAGCAGAAAAAAATCAAAAACACCCACAGACATATACCTGCTTAGACGGCCTATTTTGTTAAGGGAGGATTTAATGGCTAGGGCTTATGCCAATTCTTAGCAACCGACGCCAGTTGCACCCCATACTTTCCCCTATACTCAGACAGCTATTCATCAGAGGGGTCTTAAGGCATGTAACAACATGCTTCCCACTTCTCGTAACTGTGGTAACTCTCCTCGGTTAAGAGGAAGGAAAGCAGACACCTGCGGGGCAGATGTGCGCCATCCAAACAGGCCCAGAGAAGAACGGCGGCAAAATAGCAAGCCCTCATTTATTTTCTTAAAGGCCAAGGACCAGGAGCTGTGGTGAGAGCAGACAGATGGAGGGATTTGGTGGGAAAGGTGGGGGCAGTGGTGTACAATGGGCCACATGATGACAATTTTTTATGGACAATAACAAGAACAGGTGATG